ATTTCCTTGGGCTAAATTCCTAACAGAGGAATCACCATGGTTAAAGGCTTTTTGATGATCAGGGTGTAGGGATGGGGGAACAGGAGCCATGTTGGGATCCAGATCCTTCTATGCGTCCAAGGAACGCATGAGTGAGAAAGTGATAATTCTTATTTTTTTCTTTGGGAACTGGACAGTTTAATATTAGTCCCTGGCATGCTTTGCATCATGCCTACTAATATCCCTGTCCAACATCAAGCTTCTGAGACCTCCAGAAGGTTCTCCAAAGGCAGCACACTAATTTAAAAAACAGCCTGCGTGTCTTTAGCTGGTGGCAAAAGTTGCCACGCAGGGGCTGAGGATTCTGGAGCTGAGTCTCTCTGAGTCCCAGCCCCCTACCCCCATTTCTCTCCTTGGTTGACGGACTATGCACTTTGACAGACGTGTGTGATTGACTGTGGTATTAAGAAAAATATGTATGACAGTGTTTTTTAGCCTTTTCCAGAGATATTTATATCACACAAATGGCATGTTGGGTTTTTTTTCCCCCCTCAGCCACTAAGAATGAATAAATCAATTGTCCTAATCAAGCTAATGGACAACTCATGGGCTAGAAAGACAGGCAGGAGGGGCTCTTTGTAGAACCCACTGCTCCCTTATCAGAGGGGCCCTGGCAAAGCTGCTTCATATCTCTGGGCCTCTGTTTCCCTGTCCTCAAGGTGGGCATGGCGATATTTGGCCAGTAATGACTTCGCAGGATAAAGATCATCAGAAGCATTTGGAGTTCCTTGGAAGAAAGTAGTTGCATGAATTTTTAATCCTCTATTTTCAGCTCTTTGGAGCTGTGTGGAGGAACAGAGCTGTAAACAGAAAAGTCACCACTACATTCTAGTTTATAAGGTTTTTGTCTCACACAGGCCCACAGACCTGACCTTAAAAATGACTCAAAATGTGGGGGAAATGCAGTTTGTTGTGGTCGTTGTTGTTACATAAAAATTAATGGCTCGGCAAACAAAGGGGTCATCTGGTCATGCTGAGGTCATGTTTACACCAAGCAAATATATTTCAAGTTTCCTAAACCTTCAGCAACATTGCGGGGCAGAATGGACACATTTTCCATGCAAGACTCGGAATCCCGTGCTGGATTTTCCGTAGATCTGAAGAAGGACATTAATGAGTATTAACTGTGCAACCAGAATCCCATCAGTCTCTAAATTCCTTATGGATGAAGCAGGTTTTTCAGTTCCTAACTTACTGAGGCCTGCTAGCTTCACTGAGCAGTGAAAAAATAAAGGGGAAATTCACAAGGACGTAGGACCCAAAGGTGGATCTCTTTCATTGTTCATGCGTCCATTCACCAAATGTTTATGGAGCACCTAGGGCCTACCAGGGGCTGTGCTAAGTGCTGGGGACACAGTGGATGGCAAAAGCAGAATGGTCTTGGCCTGGGAGGAGGTTGTAGTCAAATCAAGAAGATGGACATTAATCAGTAATCACACAAGGAAGTGTAAAATTACGACCAAGTTAGGAGCTATGAAAGGAAGGCTATGGGCCAGCCCATGGCTCACCTGGGATAGCGTGGTGCTGATAGCCCCAAGGCCATGGGTCCGGATCCCTATATGGGGATGGCCGGTTAGCTCACTTTGGAGAGTGTGGTGCTGACAACACCAAGTCAAGGGTTAA